GGAAAACCCCCATCTGCCGACAGGTAGGTCGGCACCGTATCTCACCATCCAGCGTGGGAAGTACACCGCCACCTTCCGAGGTAAAAAATCATGCATTACACTTATGGGACTAATGATCTTAGCAGTTGACGCGCTCGGAATCACTAAACAATCAATGTTACTTCCAATCGCGAAGTTTAAACCGCCTCCTACGTCTCAAGAAACACCGGCGTCTGCATTGGGAACTGGGCGTTGGCCATTTTAGATGGTCCATCCTGTATATTACAATGATTGGTTTTGTTATTATGGATGGTGGATTGTAGATATGTATGAACAGTAGGTAACAGATAGTAAAAATGAATGGAGTTATTTTAATAAAGTGTCTAATTAATGCAATTTTAAAAATTTAATATTCTATCCAACTTCTCATTATCTTTCATTTTTGTAGGGTACTACTATTTTGAAAACAAATTTACATCCCTCGTCGTAAGTCAGTTTGATAAATTATTGAATATAAAATAACCTGTTTTCAAATGACTTAAAATACTTAATATTCTCAATGTATAATGTATTGCTCTTCCTTAGGAATATGTGTAGTAAGCCAACAGGTGGATGAAAAATCTAATTTTTATACTAGTTTATACGCATGTTGCTTTTCTCCTTTTGCAAATAAAGAATACCCCCTTTAGTGTTATTTTCGGAACCTAGAACATCTTACTTTACATAACTTCTTAGCTAAATTATATATTAACTAAATCTCAAAATAAATTAATCCAACTACTACAAAAAATAATTTCTTTGATTTAATGATTTTTTACTTGTCTGTCACAAAACTGCCCGTTCATATTTATGTATTAATGAAAACTGCCGAGAGCTGTTCTTTTTTAATTTTCTGGCCAGGTTTTTGTCAGAGGTGTCAAAAACGTCCGCAATTTCATGGTAGGTAGCATCGAATGTTCCATTTCAGTATGCATTCAACAATACCTCCCAGAGGACTGGCCTTCTTTCCATCAGCTTAATAAATTTTATTGTGTGGCCCATACGTTCTGCAAAAAATCTTCATCATAACAACGAAACAAAATACTGTAGTGTGTGGACATGCTAAATGTTCCTCGAACCTCGTAGTTTTTATATATTTTAATCCACAAATAAAAATAAAATACAATAAAGTCAGGGGTAAACGCCATTCATATTTACCTTTGCCACGAAATTTGCGCCTCCCATTCCAACGGACGGAGTACTACTGTGAGCGTCCCACTTGCCATCACTTGCCACAAAATAGAAATCAATTCTATCGCAAGAAGAGTTTAGCCGCTGTCTGTGAGAGAATTCTAGCAGCCGGCTACTTTGATTGGTGGTTTCCGTGGTTTCTCCGATCAAAACAGACGAATGCTGGAACAGTACACTAACAAACAGGTCACGAACCAATCGCCACCTTTCCATCCTCTTCCTTGTCCTATTCTTACCCCTTACTTACACACACACTTACATGCACAACACTATCGCTCATGTTTGCAGGCCACCATGTCTGCATAGCTTCTCTCAGTTGGGGCTGTGCTCCTCTGATGAGAGATACCGGGTTTGGGAAAATCTCGCAAGTCGACGTATAAGTCGGCGTCGGATATCGCAATCATACATCATCGCCACATCTCGACGAGCACTACACTTAATAATGACCTTAGCAGATGACGCGCCCGGAAACACCAATCAATCTCCTGGCTCTTCGTTTTCAGCGAAACATTCCCAGCGTTTTTGACACTGACATTTTGCCAGTACTGTGAAATTCCAGGAAATTGACAAGAATATCATCCGTGTGAAAATTGTGTTGCTAATTGAGGATTCCATTGCAGGTAATCTGGGAGTATGAAAAACCAGTTTTAATGAAACAACTAAATTAATAGTAAAACTCTAATATTAATATTAATAATAATAATAATAATAATTATTATTATTATTATAATAATAATAATAATTATTATAATAATAATTATAATAATAATAATAATAATAATAATAATAAAGATAATAATAAAAAAGATAATAATAATAATAGAGATAATAATATTAATGCCGATCCGGTGGCCGAGAACGCTAAGGCAGTAGTGCCGTAGCGAACTCAGACCGAAGGATCGCGGGTTCGAGTCCCGCCTCGGGCATGGTTGTATTGTGTTTCGTCCTTTCACCCCCTATCATCTTCATTATCGTGTCAACCCACAGTTACCATACCCTTACAAGCAATAGTGGTCGCTAATGGCCGAGTAGTTGAAGCGACCTTAAATAAAAAATATAATAATAAGTAATAATACTGAAATGTGCAAACTATTTGTTTTATAGACACTTTCCTCGCAAACCAGCAATAAATTGATAAAATTATAATAAACACAAGGTTTCGAACAGTCAAAGTGGTCACAGCAAGCATCTAAACTCGTAAAATTAAGTAGTTCAGGAGCACAATCTTCGCACAACTAGCTCAATATTTTTTTAATATAGTACAAAGTAGGGTAGTCAACAATTACCCTAGAAATCCACGTATTCCGTTGCCAAAAATCAACCCGAGATAAACAAGCAAGTATCCACAATGGAAAGTGAATTCTCGGTTCGGAGCAAAGCACAACAAATGATAGATCAATAACGAGCACCACTGCCTTATTCCCTGTTTATATTCACACTATTGTAGGGGAGGTTGCCTCTTAAGAGTGCTCTCTATACGTCACATGAAAGAGCCCTTCATAAAAGGGCCCTTCTCTCGCTGCGCCAGAGAATTTTTCTGCACCTCGCCCTACCGGTTAATATTTCTGAAGAGTGAAAGAACATTGCTCTATTTCTAGGGCTGTACAATCTTTCAGACACTGCTCCATAAAGAAAGTTCATTATCTAAAATATTTCTAACATAATACTTCAAATTACAAAAAAATTAGAAAATTTAGAAATAATGCGAGAAAATGTGCTGTTATAGCACCACTAGGGTCTTTACTTCTTCGTTGTTGAACTTTGTGTCACGCAAAGCACTTTTAATCGAACAAAAGAATTAAAAATTTGATTAGGGCCGGTGTTGTATGTGGTCGAGCCTCTTGAGCAAGCACGCCTTTCCTCTGTCATCCCGCACTTTTCCTGTTCAACCCGGGTTTGACTTCGTACTCAGTTTTGTTTGAGTAGTACACAATGTTGATAGTTGATTGCTCCTCCAAATAACCACAGAAAATTGGACCATGGGCACTCGAAGAGATGGTTAACAACACCTTACCAGCGGATGGTTGCGTTTTGAATTTCTTACGAAAAATGGTTTCTGGGTGTTTTCGCCCAACCTTTAACGCCTTGACTCAGGCTGAAAATAATGTATCCAAGTTTCATCAAAGGTTAAATCCTGTCCAAAAATCCTTCTCCCAAGAAATTGAAATAATTTTTGAACATGTTGCAAGTGCAAAATCTCTCGGCTTTGTGATGAAAGGTAAGTTCTACTGGAACACGTCTTGCGCAATTCTTATGGTAGTACAGTTTGTTCTGAACGATAAGACGAGTTGTAACAACATTTTTCGATATTTTCAGCTATTTGTTCCGTTCAACTGTTAGTCATCGGTCTTCTCAGATATGTGAAACAATACAAGATTCTATTGCCGAAGTCAGCGCTATTGCTTGTCGCCCAGTGCGATGCTGGTCAGAGACGCTTTTGCGTCCATTTTTAAACTTTTCAACCCTAGCGTAAAAACTCACGACGTTGATGCAGCTACTGCTACAATAACGGACACTTTACACTTTCCGAAAGTTTAAAATCTGATTACAGAACGCCGACCTTCGCAAGGACATGCGGCCGCAACTAATCCTATCGAGGTTACGTTTATGTAAATATGACAACTGAAAAATCCTTTGCAAAGATAACAAGTTTCCTTCTCAAAAAATGTGTAATGAATGGCTCACGAATACTATAATAAGTTATTGCAGCTATGGCATGTGAAGTATATTTGTTTAAATATTTAATTTATTGCTGTGTCATTACGCGAGATTTCTATTTGTTGTACGATTATTTGTTGAGTTTTTAAAATATAGTACTTGCTGTCTGAAAACAGTTTTGTAAGGTTTTTCGTCATCCGAATATTTGCTACCACAGGAAGAGCAATAGAAAGTATTTATTACTATAAGCTAAAAGTTCAAGTGAATATAATCATTTGCGATACCAAATCTATTAGAAAATATATAATCCCTAATTTTATTTTACACAATAGTAAACGAAGCTTTAAATTATCCGAGTAAGTTCTGACAAATGCAAATTAAAATACATTTCAAAAGTAATTAAGGGGTTTTGTTTCCAATTTTAAGTTTTCCTATATGGAAGAAAATCTAGAACTGGACTAGATAAGTGTCTTGTAAATATTGAAGAAAATTTACACACTATTTTATAGTAATACTGTAATTAACAATCAAATTAACGAATGTAATCCATTTTTAACATAACTTCAAAACTTTTACTGAACGAAGTTAGTTACATGAACCTTAGTTACTTGAAGGAAACTTGCGACAGTGGGCGTTAAGGGAATTTTTAAGGAAATAAACTCTTGATATGAATATTGTTCATGTTAAGTTATTCTTCAACAGGGCAATTTTAATACAAAACAAGATAAATAACAAACATCAATTCCAATTGTATATTAATAACCAAGAATGAAAACACATCAGTGCATGCGCACACAAATCAGCAAAACAAAAAAACAAAACCAATAAGGATTTTATACATTGTTTCGAGTTTGGAAACCACCTAGTATAATGAAATCATTTGTACAGAGTTAACCCGCGCATTTGCACATACGTGGCATAAGTGCATCATACAGAAAGAAAATAAGACCTAATACATAGTGCTGTATTTCAAATTTACAAAACATTCTTGCAATATGATCATAACGTACAAAAGCGCAATTCATCTTTGTGAGCTATGTAACAGCATCGCATCTCTAGACGCCTACAATTCCAGAGTCAACCTTGAAACGCAGAATCCGATTTGTTCGAATATCACCGAGTAACCACCTAGGTTAACCACCAAAGCCATAGAGACACTGGCCTCTATGTTTCAAAGCGTAAATTACATCTAGATTTGTTACAGTACGGCGCTTAGCGAATTCCGTATACGTAATAGCGTCATGAAACACACTTTCAAGGTACGTCTTCAAGCTACTACGGATCTCCTCATACATTTGGCCAGATATACGTTTCACACCGCCACGACGGGCTAGACGACGTATCGCTGGTTTGGTGATTCCTTGAACATTGTCATATAGTACTTTTCTATGACGCTTCGCACCTCCTTTTCCCAAACCTTTTCCACCCTTACCGCGGCCAGGCATTTCAAAGACCAAACGAGTGTCACACGAACTTCACGTCTTCACAACACGCTCGCGATAACTTCGACAACTAAATTTCTCAGGCTAGAAGGGCCGTTTATATTGTGTCCTCGGACCAATAAGAATTGTGCCAGCTATTTCACGCTTCGCGAGCTCAACCTCATCACTCTATCGTGCTTCACCAGAAAGCGTAGATACCAGGGATGGCGCGAATGAGAAAAGTATTCAAAATTATAGAGTACCTCAAAACAATTAAATATTTCTATAAAACATTCTATTTTAAACCATCACTCTTTTATCTTATCTTTGAGGAATAATACGCGTGCCATTACAGTGACCAGTTGAATCACAGCAAATGAGGGGTCCAGTTTCAAAATGAGACTTTTACATTCTAGTCTGTTTTGAGAAAAACATGAAAATGTTATATCATTTGTTTAAAATATTCTGCTGCTAAATGTATGGGATTAATGCCCTTGGTTAGTGAAAGTAAAAACAATATTATAAGATAATTCAAGAATAGCTAGTCATTATGAAGAAAGTTGAGCTAAAAATTTGGAAAAGTCTCATTTTTAAATTTAATTGAAATATTTTTTTGTATTTTTGGTGAAAACAAACTTTTCTTTAATTATTTTTACAAGAATATTATTTTCTTTTGATTTCTTTATTCCATATGGCATTTTTCATCAAATATGAATATCAGCAACACCTAACGGCTGGTTTCCACAATACTCATTGATGTAATATGGCTCCAAAACTCAGTGACACAAGAATATCTGAGTGCTAGAACGATCGTACTTTGCAACGAAATGAAGATTATGAAAGATCGCGTTCTGATATTAACACATAGTTATGAAACCTCCAGGGGTGAACAAAAACCGCGTTTTATTAAAAATTATTTTATGAAATGACACATAGTGCAACGGACCCCTATCGAAAAGAAATATCTCATTTTTCACCCAAGTGAAAAAGTGGCCTCTTGATTTTGAAAGTAGACCTCTCAAATTATATTCACATTGTCTTCGAGGAGACCCAAGCAGATGAAACAATATGTGCTTCCTCTTAACTAGAAGCGTTTGGTACATTTGAAACATTGAAGAGCTGTTATTTTTCCCCAAAGGAAACAAATATTGGAACTTTTTATTCTTTGGATTCTTAATGCTGGTAAAAGCTTTCCTTCCCAGCGTGCCATAAAAATTGGAAAGGTATATTCTAAACAAGTGTTTCTGCTGTCACTTTCAGGATAAAAACATTTTCCAGTGGCGTAACGCTCGGACCCGCAAGGCCTGCAATGCGGGCGGGCCCGGGTAAAAGAGGGCCCGGTTTAGGTGATATTTTTATTATTTAAGGTACTAACAATACTTGTGCTTCCTACACACTTTTATAAAGGAGGTCCGGGTAAATGTTTTGCGGGCAGGCCCGCACTCATTTCGTCAAGCTACTGATATTCTCTTATACATACTTGGTATCTATCAATCTCTTCTTGGAATCTCAGAACAGAGACGTGTTTAGGGATAATAACATTTTTCGTTTCTCGACTTATTGCAGCTTGCGTCGGGGCTCCGTTGGGAGATGACGAAGCATTTCACTTTCACTATTTTTATTTGAACAAAAAAAAACAACTTTTTTTTGCATCATCAGATAATAGTATTTGAAACACTGCTGAAGATGAAGAGGTGGCAGTTGGAAATTTAAATTGCAATTCCTCTTCCTTGACATTCCTACTTTTTCGGAGAGTTTCCCAACTATGCCAGCTAAAGGTCTTGTTCAGTCTGGATCAGTACAAGAGGTTCTTGATCAGTACCAGGTGTTCCAGGTGACTGCCGGACCAGTGCCCTAACAAACGGGCCTTGGACCGCGCGCGATCTTTTCTTCCTTTTCTTTGTCCTACCCGCACCCGTTACACTCACACTAACTTGCACTACACTACCACACATACCGGTCGGAAGATTAGCACTTGTCCCGGCTGGGGCGGTGCCCCGCTGGTGGGAGATACCACCCAGTGAGGTAGATCACCGCCACCCCCAAGGTAAGACATGCAGTACAAATACGGGTCTAATGACTTCAGCCGTTGACGCGCCCGGAATAACCAATTGATTAGTGTGCGTGCTAATTTTTGGAAAATATTTTGCGTAGTTTTGTACAGGAATATTTTTGTTACTACAGGACACGTTTTACTATTCTTTTTGTTATTAATTATTATCAATCTTCATTTCCTTTTCGGAACATACAAATGGCATGTGCCTGTAGTCTCCGGCTAGTCGCATCCAGCTCATTGCTTTAGCTGAGTTAGCTTTAGTAAATTGAACCTTCTGCTCATTGCGGCTCCCTAAAATAATGATCTTCCCATCTTTTTTCATAAATCCAGTGGCAGATTTACCATTTTAAAGGACCCAAGCTAAAATATTTTGAGGTATCCCTTTTTTACTGGCAGAATAACAGTTTTGTGTTTGGAGATTTTAACTTGTTTATTAAAAAATGAACGAAACAATTAAAACCTACCTTCAAAATATACTTTTATTAAAATTTTAACTTTAAAACTTGATTACAGTCGTTCATAACATTATATGTATGTAAAACTATATGGCTGCAATTTAATTTCACCATATATTAATCAGTAAGAAAAACTAAACTGAATGAAATTTACGCGATGTTTTGTTCAGAAAATAAACAATAATATTGCCGAAAGAAAAAACCTCAGAGCTTATCATTTTCACTGAACATAATTATTAATGAATTGAGTTTTTCTGTCTCGTAGTAACCCGAAACAAGATTTTATCTCTTTTAAATTTACTAAATGTTATTTTACCTGTACAATTTGTAATCATTAAAGTTAAAAAAAATCGAAAGGCAACCTTAACGGGTCACTCAAAGCTCAATCTTTGTGCTTGAATACCCCAAACGCCGGATACATTACAGAAAACCATTCAACCAGCTAATCAGAACGCTATATCAGATTTTGAGGCGAAGGATTTTGTTATACCATCGACAGGTTCAAAACAATACAGGGGAATGAAATTGTCGGTCTTAGAATAAATCTATTTTTAACTCCAATAGCGTGTTCATCAAATTTATTTAATTTTTTATTTCTTCACTTTCTCACTTCAAACTGATGATAAATATGTATAATTAAAGATATTTCATTTCTTTTCTCTTCTTTTATATTTAAAGAAAAATCAATACATTTTATTAATATGGGATTTGCAATGATATAACATGGCTCTTTATTATTTTTTACTTAAGTTGAATCAAACATGTTCGGGGGAAAAGTATGGAGGGGCCATTAGAGTCTGCCCGTCACCAAAATGTTGATATTTTCAAGTCTGCACTACGGACTTAAAATAGGGGTTTGGAAATAAATGAACAGAAATTGACCGAATTCAAAATTAACCTTAAATAGGTAAAAAAATAAACCTTAAATGTACGTCTATTTAACAGCGAGTTTCAAAGGAGGAAGATAGTACTGTTCCCCAAGAATATTAGAAAACTTTCAAATATTCTTAATTATAGCCACAATTATGCTTTTACATTAAACAGCTAGACAACTCTTTTATCTTTATTAAGCCTATCTAATCATCTCCATTTGAGCGCGTATTGTGTTATTTTATATGTTCTTGCTGTATGAGGACCACATTGTTTCAAAAGAACATAACTTTTTGTATGATCGAAAATACATTTATTTTATTTACGTTAAAATTATTATACCTCTGCAATAAGTTGATAGTAAGAAATTGACTAGAGGGGAAATATTATCTGCTGTTTTATCAAACGATCAATAAGGCAAATATTCTATTTTAGGAATAGCTTGCAGTTTCGTTGTACAAGCTTGTGTATTGCGAAGTTCTTGTAATACTATTGCTGTTCTTATACTTTTATTAATTACACAAATTGTTGAGTGCACGTGGGAATAAAATTTGTAAAAATTAAGAAAATATTTTACAGGGATTCCATTTTAATATTTTTTATTTCTTAATATAACATACATGAAACACAATGAAAGAAATTATTTCTTATTTTCTCTGAAATAAACATTTTACATACACTCAAGAAAAGTGACACATCTGAAAAGTTGTCATTTTGCCGCAGGATTTGAATCTTAACCAGTACAGAGCGGTTTTATTTTGAACCATAGGCAATGTATTTTATTTTATTTACTACCTGTCTTGAGACCTATCTTTTGGAGAAAATTCCCAAGAAAAATTGCCTATATTCTCTATATATATTTCTTCTCATAACCCTTTACCCACCAATGTTAAATGAAATGGAATATTTTTATACGAATTCGGAATTGTTCGTCATAAATCACAAGACTTTTAATAAGATTCTTTGTTTCATTTTTTTCACTTTAATTAGATAACAATCGAGACATTTTTCAACTTAAGAAAATTGAATCGGAAACGTTTTTGAAAATGAGAATTTTAAAATTAATTCGGAGGATAGTCAATGGTGTGTTGAGTTCGTTTTTCAAGAATACTGAATAAAAAGAATTGGAAAAAGGGACATGAAAATATTATTGATCAATCGAATTTCTATTGGGTTTATCGATAAAAAAATTTGTTGCGTCGGCTTTTGGGGACAATTACAGAATACGTAGACGTATGCTCTTGCGTTGCATTATTATGCTCATATTTGAGATTGTCTCTTGTGACATGATTTCTTCGTCCTCTCCAACCCACCTATTCTCTCACTTCTCTCTCCTTTTCTCCCTCTCACCCCCTCCTCTCCCTTTCATCATCCCCTTCTCTCCTCCCCCTTCCGACCTTCCCCCTTCTCACCTCTTTGATTCCTACTGTCTCTCTCTCCCTCTTCCTGCCCCTGCTTCACCACTCTTTATTATACCTCAACCGGCTACACCTCACCAGTTTTCAATTGTTTCACCTAAGAATAAAAATGACTTCTGTCGTGGTCCCTAAAACAGGAGGACATACTTTTGCTACATAGAAAATATTTTTTGGAAGATAATGGTTTAATAACCAGCACATATTTGAGATATGTCACTTATATCATAAGCAACAGACCTGCAACACTACAACAATAAATGCATTGAGTACTGAGATAAAACATTACAATTATTTCCATTAGAACTGGTATACAATTTATCATTTGAATAATTACATAAATCAAAAGCATGGAAAAACAGTGAACTGTTTCAGTTTTTAATAAAATCTTCTCTGCATCTTCCTACTCCAAGCCCAGTCTTTCGACTATGTATCTCTGGAGGTTGCGCAAGCTGTGAACAAAATGTTAAAATATTATTCGACAATGTAACAAAGTACTCATTATTCGCAGGCAATTTTCATTTTAATTTTATTGGTCACACATGATTTATTATAAAATGTATAACATTTGCGATCTAGAAATAGATTTTTAGGAGCGGAAATATAATTGACCAAAAGGGGACTGTTGGAGAACCGTTAGTTGGAAGGTGCCAAAAAGAAAATGTGAGGCGGCACTGGGAGGTGCGGAACGTCGTAGGACACAACGAATTACCTGTGCTACAACTCCAAATATTGTATCGTTTTATTTGCAATTTAATGTTACGAATATTATAATACTATTTGAAGCCACACAAGTATTTATAAACTGCTAAAAGGTTTGCTTAGGCTGGTACTCGACCCCAAGCGCATAATTTCCGTCGGCAATCAATTTATTCACTAGACTTCCCGACTGTTTGCACAGGAACTACGCTCCCAACGCATCAAAATAACGTTAAATGTTTGCAATTATCGAAATATCAGAGGTTTCAATGAAAATAGGATCTGCACAATCTTTATTAGCATTATTTGCTATATGCGAGGAAAATATTTTAAGACAAATGCAGAGATATATTGTTAGAATATTTCGAAAATGTCTTGGATACTGTAGGTATTCTGAGAGATTTTAACTTCCGTTTCACATTCGAAGAGCCGTGACATCAGGAAGATCAATTTGGAAATATCAGTTTTTCTGAAAATCCTCTATACGGTTTATGTGCTAGGGATTTTCAATCACAGGCTGTATAAAAAAACATTTTTTCGATATGAGGAATCAACGAAACGTGCATTCTGACTACACAATTTATTACATAAAATATTTTACTATATATAGGAGGAAGAATAATCCATTTTTCTTGGTATGGAAGACCACACAAAACATGTTTTTCTGTCGAAACAATCGGCACTTTTTCTCGCAGCAATACGTAACATTTTCTTGCGAAGTAGATACCAGAAAGTTAAAATCAAGCGTAAGAAACCAGAGATAAGGAGATTATAATGACTATTCCACTCGTGAAAATAAAACCAATAGTGTTTAACTATACATAAAAAATGCCCCAATCAGGGCGGTGTACCTCAAAAAGTTTATCGCTTTTTCGATCCAATTTTTCTTACCACTTCTCCCTTGTATTACCCGGTATACATCGATCGCTATGTCGATATCCAGTAAATCGCCTATGTATTACAACATGACAGCTTTGATTTTAACATATTTTCTATATGTTGCACATTTTGGAACTCTGTTGGGCATAATTTCACTCGTGGAATAGTCCTATTAAATAACATTCCTGCTTTGGAAAATCTAAAAAAAATCCCCTCCTTGCTTAGCGAGTCGGAGATTTATCGACAATTTCCAAAGCACTCGTGGTATTACCTACGATAATAGTTGCGGAAAACAGCTAAGGATTCGATATTTTTGTTTGATGAACATGGCGAACAGAAATTAATAAAAAGGAAGGTAGATAGAACACCTGGAAAATGCCATGAGGATTTCGTTTTCTTCCGAAGCACACAACACGAGTGTCTCGCCAGAGAAAGAAGAGAGAGGGTGAGGGCGCTGCGCAAGTGGGGTAGTGGGGCACGAAGGACGTCAGGAATGGCGAGCCGACGCCGCACAATGCCTCGCGGAGGGGCCGCGACAAAGGCAGAGAGGGGCGGCGGCGGCTGCGACGGCATCGGTGTCGCGAGGGTGGCGCCGCGGCGTCGCGGCGTCGCGGCGGTGGCACATGCGGCGTAGACGG